TATAACAAAAACATGCAGAATAAGCAAGAAATTTAAAATAATATAATTTAGATAATTCCCATAACACTTGCATAATTCTTATTATAATATAGTTTATCACATTCATCCATACTCACTAACTCATTACACAAGTATTTGACGACTTTTGAAACATTAAATATTATAAATTCAAATTTTGCACTTGTCACACCACAATTTTCCTAAAGTGTTTAACGTTAGGATACTCTCAATGACATGTACACTTTCATATAATTAAGGTAAATTCTTATTACTTATCAAACACAATTCTTTTTCACATTGTATATTAAGTTACAAAAACTTTTTTCAACTATTGTCACTTGATAAATAGAGTTATGATAATCTCTTATCGAATCTCAAATTCAACACAAATACACATTCCGTTTTCTCACGAATAATTTATTACGTGAGTTTTATGCATTCTATTATAACAACTTTCTCTCTCTTCTTTGTATATATATACTTTTTGGCACTGTTATCAATAATATCAAGTAGCAATTCACATTCAGATTTTTTTCTCTATTATCTTTTTTTGTCTTTTCTTCAACATGGCATCAGAAACAAAACCTAACATTTTTCCGATTATTATAGTCTTGAGTTAAGAGTTGCTCTTTTGTTATGGGTTAAAAGTACCATTTGCCTGGTCCGGCAGACTTCCTTGGAGGGGGCGTGTTGGAAGTCTCACATCGCCTATCTCATGTCATTTGGTATGTTTTAAATACATGTTAGGTTAATTCGTCAAAGTATACTATGGATGGATTGTGCGGAAGAGATTTGGCGTGACCTTAAATCTCTTTATTCCCAAGGTGATCTTCTTCGCATTTCCGCCCTGCAACTCGAGGCTTCTTCCATTAAACAAGGTGATTTGTCAGTTATTGATTTTTTCACTCAGCTTCGTATTATTTGGGATGAATTAGAGAATTTTCAACCAGATCCTATTTGTGCAAAATGTTCTTGCAAAGTTTCTTCCATTCTTGCTCAACGGAAAGTGGAAGATCAGGTTATACAGTTTCTTCGTGGTCTCAATGATCAATATGTTAATGTTTGTTCACATGTTCTCTTGATGGATCCACTACCTCCTATCACCAAAATATTTTCATATGTTGCTAAACAAGAACGTCAATTTTTTAATTCTTTCACTGCTGAGCCCAAACATGGTTCTATGGTTCTATTAATGCTGCTAACATAAGTCCCACGTGCAATTTTTGTGGTCGTTCTGGCCATACTGAAACTACATGTTATCGCAAACATGAGTTTCCTCTCAACTCTGATAATAAGAATGGTAAGAGTGTGTCTAATCGTGGAAAAATTTGCACTCACTGTGGTAAGAATGGTCATACCATTGATGTGTGCTATAAGAAACATGACTTTTCTCGTGGCCATCTTTTCTTTAATGGTAAATCACCATCTACTAACAACATTCTGACTGGTGAAGGAAAGGTCACTGAGAAGGATTCCTTTGCTACTGCTACTGAACCACAAGAGATTTGTTTCACACCACAACAGTAGCAGACTTTAATTCAGCCACCATCACATGCATCTTTAGCATTGAATACCGCTCATGTAAACAATAATGAAACTCCTTTTAAAAAATTATATGGTCATCCATGTGATATTTTTAGACTGGAAGTTTTTGGGTGTCTATGTTATATATCCATCTTTCTCAATGCAAATATACTTTTGACATACTCTCTGATTGTGGCATGTTAGCTTCACATCCTGTTTCCACCCTACTGCTCGCCTATCTGCTACGTCTGACACCTCTCTCTCTGATCCTTCCTCTTATCGCAGATTACTTGGTCGTCTTATCTATCTCACTACCACTCCCCCTGACATCACTCATGTTGTTCATCATCTTAGTCAGTTTAAGTATGCTCCCACCACGGCTCATTCTCAGGCTATCTTTTGCATTTTGTGTTACTTGAAGCATGCTCTTGGCTCAAATCTTTTCTTCTCAGCAACCAGTTCTCTCTAACTAAAAGCTTTTAATGATTCAGACTGGGCGGAGTGTCTTGATACTCGTCGTTCGATTATAGGATTTTCTGTTTATCTTGGTGATTCCCTCATTTCATGGTGTTCTAAGAAGCAATCTACTATTTCTCGTAGCTCCTCGGAAGCCGAGTATCGCGCTCTTGCTACTACCATTTGTGAGCTTCAATGACTCACCTATCTTCTTAATGATTTACGTGTTCTTGTTCAGCGTCTTGCTCTTCTCTACTGTGACAACCAATATGCTCTTGAAATTGCTGTCAATCAAGTTTTTCACGAATGTACTAAGCATATTGATATTGATTGTCATCTTGTTCGTGAGAAAATTCAATCTGGTTTAGTCAAACTGCTTCCAATAGCCTCTCCTCACGAGCTTGTTGACATATTCACGAAGTCCTTGTCTCCTTCGACCTTTATAGATTTGTGTTCCAAGCTGGGAATATTGAATATTTACTCCCAGTTTAAGGGGAATTTCACGAATAATTTGTTACGTGAATTTTATGCATTCTGTTATAATAACTTTCTCTCTCTTTATATATATATATATATATATATATATATATATATATATATATATATATATATATATATATATATATATATATATATATATATATATACTTTTGGGCATTGTTATCAATAATATCAAGTAGCAAGCACGCATTCAGATTTTTTTTTCTCTATTATCTTTTGTTGCCTTTTCTTTAATACGTCTCACATGAGAATACTTCTTAGTGTTTCTCATATTACAATTGTACCAAATAACAACATATACATCTTATTTCAACATAATTCATGATATGTTTAAAACACCATCTAATCAAATTTAATATTTAAGTTAACATTTTAAGTATAAAGATATATAATAATTAATTTTATTCAATTAAATAAACATATTTTAAAGCCATTAAAGTCTAAAAAAAGGACTTTTTTTATGAAAAAACTATGCAAAATTGTTGAGTAAATATATTGAATAAACTTTAAACAATCGAGTGAATTATTTAGATATTTTAAGTGTTATTTCTATCAAGTTTTTTCTGTCAAACGAATTAAAATTTCATTGAAAGAAATAAAATTGTATTGAGCAAAATTTACATATGATTGAACTTTCATCATTATCTAAATATCTTAATCGAATTTAAATTTGTTAAGTAAATTTTTAACACTTTCAATATTATTTTAAATCCATTGGAATAAAATTAAATAACTAAAAAATTAATAAAAGAAAAATAATTTTTTACTAATAAAGGTGTTAAACATATATTTCATGGATAGATAAAAACGAAATAGGTGTCCAATCTACCAATTTAAAAAAATTAAAAATTATTATATATTATTATAAAAAAATCCTTATATATATATATATATATATATATATATATATATATATATATAGAATTAACTAAAAATAAAATGTTTCTTAAAATGAAAACTTAGACATCAAATCAAGGGACTTTATTATAAGAACCTTCATAATAGCGGCTTATAAATTATTTTTTCAGTTTCATTTATACACGTTTTAGAAAATATCTTAAAATGATTCATCCGTTTATTAAACCATTGTAAGTTGTAAAAATGTGAAGAAAATCAAAATATTAGTTATATATATAGTGAGATGGAGAAAGTAGAATGATGTTAAATGTTTATTTATGGTTATATAAATTTAATAAGCATTAAATCAACATTGAGTGTGTAGCATGAAGTATGATGACATGTTGGTTTATCCATATGTAGTAAGAAACTGTTAAAAGGCACTTAAAATAGTAAAATCCGTAAGAAAAGGAAGCTGGAATATGACATTAATCATTGGACACAACCATGGACCCTTTTCCAAATAATTCCTCGCTCCATCAAAAAGGCAAATCAACCATCCTTTCTAAAATCTTATCTTTTGCAAGATTTTACAACTTTTTAATCCTCTCCTTCAACCAATATATATAAGAAAATTTTCACTTTTAAAGCTTTATATCTTTTATAAGTCTCATGATCTCTTGAAGTATGATATGACAGTGGATTAAGTTGAGAAAGAAAATTTTGAAATGTAGCACAAGTATGATGGGTTGGATTAAAAGAGTATTTATGAAGGATCGATTGGCTGGAATTGTCCAGCCAATTCCAGAAAACTGAATGGTTGAAGGCATCGATTTTGGGAGTAAAGAAGAGCCAATGAGAGGGTGCAGCACCATGTGATGTGTTATGCAAACAATCTTTATAGCAACCTCTGATTAGCTAGCGGCTAGGCTATGTTCTAGTCGTAGTAGTAGTAGTTGCCAACACAAGCCACCTTCATAGCCCTGCTCTAGCTTCAATTTCCAACAATTTACTCAATTTTATTAAATTCAAATATGTGGATCACAACTTGCTTCTGCCATTCAAAAATATGTTGAATGCATGCTATGAAAACAGCACCAAAGAGACAAGCCAGCAAAAGTTCCTGTTTGGTTTCCCACTTTTTTTGTCCTGCAACACCACTTGTGTTGGTTCATATGATATATTCTTAAGTTATATATACTTGCAAGCATAGGATAGAGATAGAGATTGAGATTCCCGATCGGACTCATGCTCCTTTTGGCCTACAAAAGTATAATTATCTGTGAAAAGAAAGAGAAAGGTGTCTGTCCATAACTACAAACAAGCTCCACTTTCTCTTTTTCATTGAACCAAGCAAAATATAAGAGAGTGGGGTTCACAGTAAAAAGGCTAAAACAGCCAAAACAAAAGTTTCCTACTAGCTACCTAGCTACCTACAACCCTAAAATATAATATCACCTTCTCTTCCATCTCTCACCACACCACCATTGTTTGTGTCTCTGCACATTACATCCTCACTCCCCCCTCTCACTAACTTCCCAAATCCTACATTGTTAGAGGATGGCAAAAAAATTAACCTATAAATATAACAAAGGGGTAGTTGTAGTAGCAGTGTAATCCACTGCAATTAGTCTTTTCCTTTTCACCACCACTTCATTCCTTTTCCACTTCCTCCACATGCTTCAAAGCCCAAGCAAAATGTAGTAAACTAGTGTAATAGGAAGAGCAATTAGCATCCCAAATATAACCCTGCAAGTATTAAATAACCAACAGACAAACGTTAGTGCGAACATGATATGCAATAATTAACAACAGAGGGTTCATATTCTATGATATAAAATAGTAAAATCAAATCAAGAGTAGAGGAATACAAACCCGGTGCTAAGGATGTCAGGATGAACGTTGTATTCCTTGGCAAACACAAAAGGGACAATCCCTTGCGGCAGAGCAGCCTAAATTTACATGCAGTACAATAATAAATACATTGAACAAACCACAAAATAAAGAGAATAAATTACATTAAAGATGATAAATGTTGGAGACACCCTTTTTACCTGTACAATAGCAATGTGCAACAGAACTCCTCTGAGCCCTACAACTATTGAAGCCACAGCCATGACAGCAGGTCCAGTGAGGAAACGAACTGCCATGGCAAAGGAAGCAACCGAGTTTCCACATGCAATAATCTTTGGTTGCAATGCCATGAATAACCCTACAAAACCCACCAAGGAATTCAAATCTCATGACCATATCACCATAACCAAACAAGACAACAAAGCCAAATTAATTCTTCGTAGAAGGCATACCAAGGCTAAACATTGCCATCCCAAGCCCAGCATCAGATAAAATGGATATGGATCGAGCAACAATCGCAGGCATAACAACATTCCACCTGCCACACAACACAAAACATTAGCACCTTGTGTAACTAAAAGTATTGGAACTAATAAATTATATAAACATTGAATTATTGATAGCATACTTGAATGAGATCAAAGACCAAGTGAGACCAAAGAGGCTGGAATATGTGTTGGGGTTCCTAATCAGCTTTCTCCAAACCATAATCAGAATAAGTCTTGTCATAACACTTGTGGGTGGCATGGACGTAGGTTTGGATTCTCCTTGTGCTTTAGGGTGAAGCTCAGCCGTGGAACTTGAACCAAGCTTGGAAAGTACTGGCCCTTCCTTGTCCACCCCATTAGCCACGGTTCTGTTCCCGAAGCTAAACTCATCGTGACCAAAATCATCATAATCTGACCACCAACGTTGAAAACAAAACACACCCAATCAAAACAAGGGAAAATGACAAGCCCCAAAAAATATTACCATTATTGGATCCAGAAAAGACCAAATAGCAGATACACATAAGGATTAACAGACCAAAAACACTATTGTAATCGATAAAAGACAACACAAGGAAAGTCCAAGTCAGTCCAACAAATCCCACTCCAACTTTAACACCAACAACAATCTAAAAGAGACAAAAAAAAAAACAGATGCATATTTGCAACAAAACTAGGAAAGTCACATTTGAACAAGATTACAGGCCTCTTTGCTACGGTCAAAAGAAAACAAATAGCCCGCTTGGTTCCGCATGCTTTTTCCGTTTACTAAAGCTAACAAGTTAAAAGACAAAAAGCTTTCATATTTAAAACCAGATTTCTCATTTCTCCACAAATTTCCAAAATTTAGTAAAAAATTAAAGAAAGTTTTATACTTTTTTATTTGAACAAATCAAATTTGATTTCTTTTTCATTTCTTTGCATTTCCTGTCCTTTCAAACAAATATATCACATAATGGTCCAACCAACTCGTGCAACGTTATTGCAAGATACATGAGTTGTATCTAAAAAAATTAAACACATGAAACAAGTCCACACAGTTTGAACAAGCACCAAGCATAGAAACAAAACAAGTTGTTTTGAAACCAGGAAAGTCAAAAGGGGATGAAAAAAGCAAACCTTTCTGGTGAGCCACCCCACCAACAGGAAGCTGGTCGTTCCCATAATCCCCACCTCTGAACACATGGATCCCACCTTCCGATACCGGAGAAGCGCTCGAACTCCACACAAACATGTGAAGATCCTTCCCTCCACCTTCTCCACCACCACCCTTCTTCTTCCCCACCGGAGAAAAAATCCCCGCATTGTGAGGTGCAGGGTACCCTCCTGCGCCCCCATTACCCCTCACACCACTCTCCTCATCAAAACCCACCCCCCCAAAACTACTCTGCCTCGGACTCACGTTCCTCCCATTATTCACCATCGAGTAGAAGTCCGTGTGGTTGAAACTCGACCCTCTAGGCGTGGGATTCCTCGAAGACTGCAGCGAGTAAATCTCTGCATTGGTCAAATTGGAAGGCCTCGGAGTCAACGAAACTGAGTTAGGACCATGCGAGCGCCGCGAGAATATCTCAGAGCGCGAGCTAGTGGACTTTCTGACAGTAACATGAAGCTTCCCATCGTCACCAACTTCAGCCTCAGTCTGAAGCGGTTCCTTCCCATCCAAGGACAAGATATCAGAGTCAACCTTGAACGAGATAATGGACCCTGCAGTGTCGGGAAACTGCTCCACGATGAGAAGTCTCGCACCCCTATACTCAAACAAAAACAGCATCAGAGTGTACCAGATGATGCACTGAAGCACCACTATCTGGACCATGAGGGTCCCCGACGCGTTCCCGTACATGCCCTTGAGCAATGGGATCCCCATAACGAGCGTGTTGGGGAGCGTGGAGAGGGAGAAGAGCGTGATGGACCATTCGAGAGAGCCCCTTGAGCTGGTCCTGCACCAGACGAAGAGCACAGCGAGGACTATGGCTTTCTGAAGCGAATCCGCCGCTATGAACTTGTAGTTCATGGCGTAGGGGTTGTTGGTGGAGATGAAGTGGAAGGAGAGGAGTGGCACCGCGAAGAGCGCGACGAAGCGGTTGATGCCGGAGCATTGGTCCGGCGTGAAGATCTTCCACCACTTGACGGAGCCGTAGGCGAGGATCATGGCGACGTAGAGCGGTACCACAGCCGTGAGAACATGGTAGAGGTCCAACAAAGTTATCATTGTGATGTTTGTTTGTTTGGAAATAATAAGGTTTGAGTTTGAGTTTGAGGCTTTGAGAAGGTTGGAGATGTTAGAAGTAAGAAGAGAAAAGAGAAGAGAAGAATGGGTTTAGTTTATGGCATTATGATGGGAGACAAAGGAGTAAAAGCTGGGGGCTTTTGTGAAGCTTTTATAAGTCTTTTCTGCTCCTGCAAAGACAGAAAAAACCCTCTCCTGCTTTTACTACTTCCCACTACACCTTTCTATTTCTATTTCCTCTCATAGATTTAGGTTAATGAATGCATGTTATTATTTATTACTAACCGAAAAAAATATCTTAAATTTCCATTTTTTTAATAATTTTGAATTTTTGGGTTTAGAGAAAATGAAAAGGGTTGAATGAGAGTGAAAGGAGGAAGGAGCATCACAGAAAAAGGAGGAAAAAGAGAAGAAGTTGTAAAGATTCTCTTAGCTTTTTGCAGTTTATATGCTGTCTTCTTATGGCACATGAGATGCAAATTACCAAAACCAACCACAAGGACTGGAAAAAAGAAAATTCTTCTGTCCTTTCATCGATTCATTTTCTTTTCTCTGTCGGGAACCCCAAACTTAAAAGCTTCACTGCCAAATCGGATTCCACCCTTTTCAAAATATCATATCCATTTTTTACATCATTTCTTCATTTTCATCTTACATTTTCCAGATTCTCTGTCTTTGTTTTATTCACTCTTTCCAAAATCAATTGTTTTTGTTAAACTCCTAATAAATCTTCAAATTTTAAACTCATCTTGTTAGAAAGTATGTTATGTATCGTGATAAAAACATCGATCAAGAAACTAAAAGCATGAAACTTTAGAATAAATGTATAAAATTTCATCTAATCGCTTACTTATATTAATTTCAAACAAGTTAAAGGTATAAAAGTTGACTTTTTTATTGTTATTGCAAAAAAAGAAAAATACTATTAATGAATTAAAATTATCTATGGAATTTAAAAAAAAATGATTATAAAAAACAATGGATTCGTCATACATGAAAAGTTATTATTAAATAACAAGGTAAACTAATAATGAACTTTATACTTATCTATTATCTAAACTATATCTATAAATGAAGGGTTAAAAAATTTTTGTCTCCATTTTAGAAGACCATTGACTTACAATAAATTTATCTTTTGCATTCATAATAAATTCTTTTGATTTCCACCTATAATTTTGAAGACGGAAATTCGCATTTATCACTTTTGCATGGTAGTCAAAATTTAGGTGGTGCTTTTATACTTCAACTCGTGTGCACCAACCGATCAAAGCAAAAAAAGTATGACTTTAACATGATTTTACTTTTTTAATAACATGAAACAAATACTTTCTTCACTCAATAATTATATATCGTGTAAGAAAAAAATTCCAAAATAAATTTAATTATTTTTATTTATATCCTAATGATATTAATGATACACAGCGCAAACTAAAATCGAAATTAATCTGGATAAAAAATCATACGACAATGATTATTATAAAATAGAAATAGCACAGCTTTTTCTTAAGCACGTTTTGTAAAGCCGTTTAATTATTTTTTTTGTAAAGTCGTTTACGTTTTATTAACCATATTTTTATATAAATTTAGGTTTAGGGTTATTCTTAAAAGTTTCTACAATCAATTAGGTTATATATTTGTTTTTTCCAATTAATATATAATAACACCAATAAGTTTTTCTTCATTACATAGTATTTTTAAATTTTCAATAAATTATATAACATAAATCCTAAAAATAATAATAGAATAATAATATTAAAAACACATCCAATATTTTTTTATATGTTGGATTAGTTTAATGCGTTTTTTTTTTGCTCTAATATTACACATAAGTGAAACGAAATTTTTTTGTTTAAGGAAGAATTGTTGTTTATTATTTGCGTCACTAAAATGGCAGCATGATAGTGATATTATTCATGGAGTAAACAATGTGTACAAACAATATAAAATTTTAGTCTTTAATTAATTTTAAATTATTATCTGTAATAAAAAATAACTATAAAAATTTTAAAAATATAGAATTTGTCATTAATTAATAATAATAATTTATAGTTATAATGCAGAAAATGAAAATTTATTTATGAAAGATCAATTAACATTTAAAAAATAATTTTTTTCAAACAATATTAAATTAATTATAAAATTATATTGTAAGAATATGTAACCGATGTAAAGTATCAAAAACTTTTTCATGTCGACTTTTCATTGTCTTAAATGTATAAAAGAATTAATTATCATGGATAAATATGTGTTTTGTAATAAGACGTTAGTCTTAATTTTTATGTTAGGGTAGAATAGTTTATTATAAAAAATAAAGCTTGTACTAATTAAATTTTAAATATTTTTATTATTTTAAGAATATAAATTATTTAATTAAGCGAAGTTTAAATTTTATTAATTAAATTAAAAAAAATAAAAAAAATAATTTTAACTATTTAAATTTTATTTTTAAAAATCTATTATCTCACTAAATTTCTAAAGTCTTTGATTTTTATTTTAAGAACTCTTAATCCATTTCTAGATTTTAATGTCCAATATTAAGTTTGTTTTGAGTAAATTTCTCTTTAACCTGTTCTAAAGTAGTTTGCATGTGGGTGTTAGATTTGCATGTGGTGTTCCTTATATAAAGATAAATTCATACTAGTTTAGATTATGGTAATGTGTTTAGTTTGTTAATCATGATTTTTTTTCATAGGTTTAGCATTCCTTAATTATTAGGGTTGTGGAGATTAACCGGGAAAACTAAGTTTACAAGTAAGGGAAGTTAATTTTAAATTTTATATTACTTTAGTTTAGAAAATCTAAATGTTAGAATGTGACTTGGTTATAATTGGTCAAGCTTTAATGAATTGAAAAACTTTGGTTGATATGAATTAGTAATTTGTGCCCAAATAGGATTGTTACCAGGAATGAGTTGTTGTAATAGGCAAAATGGTGATTATGCTTAAATTGGGTTATGTTAAGGATTTTGATTATAGGATTTGAAATATGAATGATTGATCAATCGAGAATTTGGTTTGATTTGTATCATAGAATTAAGAATGATTGAATCAAATTGGTGTGAAACTAATTTTGGGAAGTAAGAAAACTTTTCTTATTTTCAAAAATGAACTTGAAGTGGTTTTATACCATGTTGGCTCAATTTAAGAATTTTGTACAATTTCTAAAATTTGCAATATTTCTTTAAGTAATTAATTAATCTCTTAAGTGCGAGTAAGAACTTTATTTTAAAAAATTTTCACTTGAGCGATGACGTTTTAAAAGAAGATAAAATTGTCTCAATTTCATTTTCATTCAATGAAAGAACTTTAATTAAAAAAAGAATTTATACAATTTCATTTTTTTTAACCAAAAATGTTGGTTTCTTAAACGATTAATAATTTACTCAAGCAATTAACATTTTTCTCAAACAAAATACACATAAGAGGAAGAAAAGTTCTAAAAAGAATGTCCCTCAAATAATAATAGGCTTGCTCAAGTAACATTCTTAGGTCTAATGGGTGTTTTAAAAAAATTTAAATAATATGTATTGGTAGTTTCTTATCACTTATATATATATATATATATATATATATATATATATATATATATATATATATATATATATATATATATATATATATACTCAAAAATAAGATTTTCAAAGCGGTTATTTTAAACATTTTGCACCAATTGTTAAAAATTGATATAAATGTTATCAACGTAGAAAGTGTGAGACTTTTTACATGAATTGATAATCAATAAAAAATAGATATATAATATCAAGTATAGAAAAACTCATGTAATATGTCATTTTCTACATTGGTTCTTAGCTATAAGCTGATGTGGAAAATTACATCATATATCAATTTTTTTAGAATTAATGTTATATGTCCACTTTAAAAAAAAATAATGTATCGCATAAGTAAAACATAAACATTTTCATACATAATCATCGATGAAGTGTTCTTTGTTTTTTATATTATCAATAACAATATACAACATTATGATAACTATTTTATCCATTCTTAATAAAGTTTATCATATAATCATTAAAAGAAATAAATTTTATATACTTATCTTGAATGATGACAACAAGAGAGGGATGCGAGATGACAATGACACTAAAGAATAATGTCAATTTTATAGACAATAGAAAAGAGTTTCATTTCCATTTTTTTCGCATTAGGATAACTACTAACAATTGAATAACTGCATAATAACTTTGTTCTGTTGCGGTGGTTGAGCAGTCTTTAGAGAGGAGAAACTTTCAAAAGAAAAAACTTAAAAATGATGAATTTTGGAGAAGAAGAGTTTTAGAAAGGAGAAGGTTCAGAGAAGATGATCTTCACAAAAGATGAGGTTTGAAAGTACAATGGTGACGCTGACAAAAAAGAGACAAATTTTTAGTGTAACAATAAAAAAAATGAGAAGACGTAAAGTGATAATATATAAAGGACTCTTTACATAAGTTATATTAATAGTCGATGTGGTATCTAAATATTATATCAGTTGTATTAGGAAGGAAAGTAAAAAATTTGTCACAATTATTACAAAAATGTCATTACGTTTATATTTAAATTGATTCTCATATAACTCATGTAGATAACATAATGTAAAAATGTGATTTTTCACTAGTGTATATATATATATATATATATATATATATATATATATATATATATATATATATATATATATGAATATATGAATGATAAAATTATATAAATGATGATGAGATATGATATCTTTTATAAGGTGGAATATGTTTGAATATGAACATGGTTATTTTAAATGAAAATTTAATATATTAAAATATGTATGTTATATATTGAATTGGGCATTTTGTATGAGTTATCTTGACTTTATTGATATCAAAAATCAAATAAAGAAAAGTATTAAGCGGTGGAAGTTAAAAAAAATTCTTGTAACTTAGTTTATTATGTGCAATTAAGCGGCAGAGGTTTACCTTATCACATGAGGGATTTTATTTCAATTACATAACT